CCCTGGGGGGTGATTTCTCGCTTTCTATCTCTCTGTCTCTCTCTGTCTGTCTGGCGAGCGCACGCGCCCTATAGAAAAACACCTCCAAAAAAAAAAAAGACTATCAGAGGGTAGTTGTGATCGCAATTAAGATTGGTAGTTTTTATTAAAACTTTTTTTATTGGAAACAAAACAGTGAAAAATTGAACAGTACAGAAAAACATAAAGTAAAAAGTGACAGTTCTTCCTTGCATCCCTCTACCTGCACGCTTCATTCACACCCCGGAGACAGCAGCAGTAATGGCCTTTCCTATCCCTTCACCAGACAGAGGATTGAGAGACAAGGATACACACATACATACATAGATACAAAATCTATACATTTTCAAAGCACAGAATCACGTTCTATACCTTGTTTGGTTACTTGCTTTTTACTTCCTACATCTCAAACCCCTTTCCTTGTCAGTGCAAAGTTTTATGGCAGTCAGCACAAATTAAGCAGCAAAGCAAATGAAGGCCTGGCGCCAGGTGGCGGCAGAGTAGGAACGCAACCAGAGCCGCTTGCGTTCCAGAGTCTCCCGGAGCATGCTGGGCAGCGCTGGGTGCCGGTGATCCCGGATGGCTGAAACTGGGAGTGGATCACGGTGTGGAGAACCTGTTGGGGTCTCTCATACTCCTCTCTCTTTGTCTCTCTGAATAAATAAGTGAATAATCTTAAATAATAATAATAAATTGGGCCAGCCAATGGCATGATGGTTACAACAGCTGGAGCCCACATTGCTGGCTCTGCCACTGGAGTCCCAGACCTTGGAGCTTGAAAACCATGCTTGGATGGGCCAGCAAGTGGTGTTGTGGTTAAGGCGTTGGACTCCCACATGGTCTACTATGGTTTGAGTCCCCATCTAGTGGCTTGAATCACGCTAGGCACATGTGTAGATGCACCTGCCGCTGAAATCCCAGAAGAATGGAGAAGGGATTGCGCTGTGACCAATCTCCCTGGGGGTGTTTTCTCACTCTGTGTGTGTGTGGTGTGTGTGTGGCTGGCAAGCATATGTGCCCTAATGCAAAAACAACAAGAACTCTCAACAACAACAACAACAAAAAGAAGGAAGGCAGGAAGAAAAACATATTTGGCACATGAATGTGCATGCCCAAAATCCAGACAGGAGAGGGAGATGGAGGTGAAGGGATTGCAGTGTGAACACCCCCCAGTGAGGGTGTTTTCTCTCTCTCCTCTCTCTCTTGACAGAGAGACTCTGGTGAGGACAGGCATCCTCTAGCAAATTATTAAAAAAGTAAATTAAGGCATATTTGACAAATATATTTTTTCATGAATTTGCATGTCATCCTTGTTCAGGGGCCATGCTAATTTTCTCTGTATCATTCCAATTTTAGTGTATGTGTTGCTGAAGCAAGCACAACAAATATCTTAAAACTATAGGGTATCCTTGCACTCAATACATATCTAAAAAGTTCAGGGTAGTTGAGACAGCTGAAACTGTGCAGTTTTAGGCATTTACTGTGTATGAATTCTTTTTTTGGCGGGGGTGAGAGAGATTCTTGCTATAGGGCGAGTGTGTTCACTGGAGAGACAGAGACAGAAAGCAAGAAATCACTCCCAAAGAGGGATGACCATGCCACTATCCCTACTCCTCCATTCTCCTCTCAGGATCCTGGGCACACATGCACACACACCCAGCATAAGGTTTAAGCTGGTGCTGCATCCAGGACTTGAACCACAGTCAACTATATGGGAATCCCAGGACGTAACTATTATACCATCTGCTGGTCCCTGTGTATGAATTCTTCAATTACCTACTACAGAGTTGTTGGAAAAATAAAGTGGGAATCTACAGAAAACAGCTTTGCTAAGCAAAGCACCAAGTCTAGGCAGAAATCCTAACATTTCTGAGTGCCTACGAAAAACACCATCCACTCAATGAAAAGCCTAGGTGACCTCCAATGTTCAGATCCCACTGTTTATTTAACAAGAGACAAAACATGGGACCAGGAGATGGTGTAATGGTTATGTCACTGGACTCCCATGTAGTCAATCATAGTTCAAGTCCTGGGTCTGGCTGCTTGAAACTCACACCCGTTGCATGTGCGTGCGTGGCCAAGATCCTGGGAAAAGAATGGAGAAGGGATTGTGGTGTAGCCAACCCCCCTGGGGATAATTTCTCGCTTTCTATCTCTCTGTCTCTCTGCCAAGTGCACACACCTTATGGCAAAAATCTCTCTAAAAACAAAACAAAAAAAAAAAGAGAGAGAGAGAGAGAAAACAATTTTTTTTTCTGCAACTACTTTTTGGTGATGCAAGTCTGCCCTGGGGTTGAGTAAGCATTTCATTTGGAGGCCTTCCCATATCTTAGCACCTTCAAGAACTTCTCTAATGCATCCTCTTCCCCACTCCAGTGAAGCAAGCATTCACTACCTCATTTGGCCAGGGGAGAAACAGAAGAAGCAAGCCAGGGCAAGAAACCAGCCTGAAACTCAAAAGGTACATTCTGAAGCTGCAAGTCCTGAACTCCATAGCCAGGACTGCTCTGTCTCAAAAGACGAATGCCAAGCCCTGCCTTGACATCTAAAAACACGGAAAACAGAAAGCTTAGGTCAGCTCTGATGTTTGGCGCTCCCCTGCAGAAGGAGAATGGCTTGTTTATATTAAATAAAATTGGACATTTTGTAAACAGGAATGTCCTTCACAGGCTGGACAGGATGCACTTGGCGTAGTCACTAACAGAGTAAGATCATGGCTTTGCTTCCACAGTACATACGTTTGCGGAGAAGACCATCCTTTTCTAAATGCTTTTACTCCTCCCCCTTTGTGAAACATAATACATGCATGCTGGAGAAAATCAGAAAAACATTAAAGCATTTGTAATTCTACTGTCACACTTAAGATACTGGTGTCTTCTATCCATGCATTCATTTTATTTTATTGGCTCTTATCCCATACATACAGTTCTTAAATTGAGATGAAACACAAGTGCCCAGTGTGACTCTTACACTGCTGGATCTGGGATTTGAACCACGGCTAGCCATGTGGGAATCCAGCATCTTATAACAACTATGCCACCAGGTGGTCCCAGATTTAGTGATTTTTATTACTCTCACTATCTTGCGCAACCATTACCACCATCTAATTCTAGAACATTTTTAGCTCCCTAAATAGAAACCGTACTGGGAACCAGCAGTTAGCGTAATGGCTATGTCGCTGGACTCCCACGTAGTCGACCGCGGTTCGTGTCCCGGACCCGGTGGCTTAAAACTCAACGCCGGGCGCGTGTGCGTGCGTGCCCAAGATCCCGAGAGGAGAATGGAGGAGAGGGGATTGCGGCGTGACCATCCCCCCTGGGGGGTGATTTCTCGCTTTCTGTCTCTATGTCTCTCTCTGTCTGTCTGGCGAGCGCACGCGCCCTACAGTGAAAATCTCTCAAAAAAAAA